GTGATATAACTACTTCATCTTTACTTACACTAGGCTTAGTCGTTTCCTTTACGACTTGCCAGATACACTTGACAGTATTTTTTGAATTAATTATTAAATTATCATTTGATTTTTTCTTTGCCGATTTAATCTTGGATCTATATTCCTTTTTCAACTCTCTATAGGCATTTTTAATTCTATCATTTGAGCCTACAGTGTTACACAGTGAATACAGAAAATCTAACCTATTTTTAATTAAAGCTAACTCGTTTGTGTACCAAGCTTTTGTTTCATTAACATTCAAATCAAGTCTAGGCTTAAATTTCTTAAGAGGGAAACATATCTTAAAGTAATGGACTAGAGTATCTAGAAAGGTCTTTAAGTTCTCATCAATATCACTGTGAGGAAGTTCAAGCTCCCAGTCAATTTTACTTATCATAACCTTGAAAATGCGGATGTTGTCTTCACTTATGTGATGATACAAAAGTTGTGGTTTATTTGACTCGCAACTCTTAAATTTCTCCCCATGGATGCAAAATTCTAATGTTTGTCCTAGATGGTCACTGAGATGCAGGTTTATAACTCCAGCGCTAAAAACGGAGGTGCCAAACACCAAAATGTTGTCCAAACAATTGTTTTCACGAGTAGGCTGATTTACAGTAACTTCAAATCCATACATTGAGCACAAATTTAGAAACTGATTTGTTGTGTTGTCGGGAATGTTGATTTTAATATTGAAATCCCCACAAACAATGGAAACTAGACCTAATTTGCCTAAGAACTCAAAAACCAAAGTGAGAGTGTCAAAAAAAATATCTATGTCAGCACTGGGAGGTCTGTAGAGCAAAACCAAAGCCAAATTATTATTTATCTGTAAGCCTATCAGTTCACACATAAAAGGTTGAGAAAGTTTTGAAAATTTGTCATTTACCTTAAAGTTGATATTGTTCTTCACGTAAATTGCAAGCCCACCGTGCTTGCGTGGACCCCGGCACTGACTAGCTGCCAACTGAAAACCAGTTATGGAGAAGTATTGCAGTTTTTCAAAAGTTTGCCAATGTTCGGAGATGGCAATAAAGTCTGTACCCAACACTGACACAACCCGTTCTAATTCCTGCAGCTTTGGGTAATCAATATTTGCAATATTTTGATGTAGCAATTTAAGCTTAACTAGGCCTAGGCCTTGGTCACAATGTTTATCCGTCCCACAGGTTGTAGGAGGCAATTGATTCATATGTCCACCAACACTGCCCATTATTGCCGAGTTCTCGGGCCTTAAGTCTTTTCTTGTAAAACTTATTGTTGTTATAAGGCCCATTATTGTTATTTATTTTTCAATTCAATGAAACGCATTGAGTACATTTATTTACTATTTGAGTTTGTGTAAACATAACCCCCAAGACGGATCGTGTTAGTATGGTTAAAATTAAATTTGTGTATTTATCGTTGTTTTGTGTTGCTGTGACGGATTGTGTTAGCATGATTGTAACTTAAATTTGTGCGTTTGTCGTTGTTTTGTGTAGCTATAATTTGTTTATTTGTTGTTTTTTTCTTTCAAATGCCTCCGATGCGACGACAACGAAACATAGACAGGAGGCGTAATCGTGATAACGACCGCAGCTACAGAACAGTGGCGCGTAATAGGCTTCAGTCAGCACCTGACCCTGGACAATCTCAACTATTAGGTTACAAATGCGCCCTAACACTACCCCAAAACGACTTTTTGTTCTCAATTGGCCCTCTAGCAATGACCTGTGTTGCATGTACAGTGAGGTATTTTGAGAAGGAGAAAACCAGCTGGAATACTTTAGGTTTATAAATAACGAAGATAAACATGGTCTGAGTTACACACCGGTAATCTTTGAGTTAAACTCATTGTAAATATGACTGTTGTTCGTTTTGAAACTCCTGTAATACTTTGCAATTGCTCGAATTCGAGCAACATGTACACTAGTTATATACTAAGCTATTAATATTTTACAAAAAAAAAAAACAGACCTTATTATCCTCCCTGTAGCAGCAAACCTAGGCACTAGTTAAAACTAATTTAAATTCAATACACTATAAGACCCATGGTGCTCCACACAGGGCCGGATCTACAAAATATGGGCCCCCCTGCAAAAATCCTCCAAGGGCCCCTAGAGCTGGCATCAATAGCAGGGAGGCCTTATTTGCGGGAGGGGGGGGGGGAATGTTTAAAATATAAGTAGCTGAAACTGAATTTTAATGCTATTTTAAAGATAAAATACTGATCATGTTTGTAAAAAAACATTTTCGTTAAAATGCGTAATTTTGTAAATTTATGAACTAAAAAAAACAGTAAAATAAAAAACTTCAAATAAAGCTTTTTTATTCTTATGTCAATAGGATTTCTTAGCCTTTCAAATAGGTTTACAAATCATAAAATACATATTGTACAAAAAAAGTAAAAGGTTTTACATAAAGAATTTCAAGCATAAATAATAATGTAAAATAATAAACAAACGACTCAATTTAAACTTAGTTTCTTTTTACACTATATTTTCAAGATAGATAGGCCTACATACAAATCATGGTTCCAGAGGGTGGGGCAGAGGAGCCAAAGCCCCGGGGCCCTGGGCTCTGAAGGGGGCCCCGCCTGGTCAAATGTGAAATCTTTTCTGAACATGTAATCTGCTAAAATGGTTTTAGCATGGTTTTTCTTTTCACATACTATGAGCAAGAGAATTAGTCAAACTATCATGCGTTTTAGATAATATTGTTATATGTTTAACAAAACGGCACGGAGGGGGCTAGACACTAAATTGGGAAAATAGGGGGCCGGGGATCGCTCAGCTCAGAGGCCCGTGACAGCTCTCGCCGGCCCTGAGGTCGTTAGATAACGCTACAGAGGTTATTATAAGTCCCGCCTGTACTACAGACTTATTGCTCAGCTCAACTGATAGTTGACTAAGTTGACACTATGTCCACGTCGATCGGACTGTAGTGGATCTGTGAAGCGTGCACTGCAGCTGACGAGCTGACTGGACTGAGCTGAGCATACAGACTGGACTGACTGAAAGTGACAGTACACCACAGATAAACTGTCTACGGCGAGGTCCCGAGTTGTTGACGAGTAAAATCAGTAGGTCTAAATTTACTCAATAATTGTAACTTTAGCTTTGATATTGACAATATTTGTCTGTCAAAACTAAACTTACCGTCCTATTCAATTATGTTTATATGCATTAAAATAATTTTAAATTATAGAGCTCTTTGGGCCCCCTAAGGGCTTGGGCCCCCCTGCATTGCGGGGTTTCGCGGTTCCTAGATTTATCCGGCCCTGGCTCCACAGCTTTAAAGTAAATATAATATCCGTGAAATAATAAAATTTATGATTTTTGATTAAGTAATATAGTATCTTGGACGTAACTGATTCAAACGATCAACAGCACAACCGCTTGAATTATAGCCTATAATTTACTGATTATTTTGAGTCTAAAACATATAAAAATCATGAACAATACTGGAGCTATTGATTTTTAATCATAGAAAAAACCTCTTGAAAAATAATTTTTATGTTGGTTGTTCACCTTGTGTTCGCTTGAAACTCGTGCGATTTGGATAAATAATAGCTTAATGAAAGCCGGTATTTCATTGAAGTTCTTAAACCAAAATATATAGGATTAGATAATTATAACTGGTAAAATACATCTTAATCTGAGTAAGAATTAATCAAATTATGTTTTTGGTCGAGTAATACAGTAGGTAAATATGTGCCGATGCTTGATGTGAAATCTGTGCATGCATAGATTTCTGTGCATGCATACCTTCAATTTGAGACATCAATCATAAAAATCGGTTGGGTAGAAGTGCTAAACGAACTCGGAAAAGAAAAACCAAATTTACTTCCCATAAGAAATACATGGGGAGAAAATTTCCTTTATGTATAAGCCGCGTAGGATTATAGATAAATATATGCCGATGCTTGATGGCAAATTTGTGCGTGCGTACCTTCAATTTGAGACCTCAATCATAAAAATCAGTCTGGTAGAAAAGCCAAACAAACTCGTAAAATAGAAACCAAATTTAACACCCATAAGAAATACATGGGGAGCAAATTTGGTTTACGTATAAGCCGAGTGGGATTATAGATAAATATATGCCGATGCTTGATGGCAAATTTGTGCGTGCGTACCTTCAATTTGAGACCTCAATCATAAAAATCAGTCGGGTAGAAGAGTCAAACGAACTCGGAAAAGAGAAACTAAATTTAACTCCCATGAGAAATACATGGGGAGCAAATTTCATTTACGTGTAAGCCGAGTGGGAATATAGATAAATATATGCCGATGCTTGATGGCAAATATGTGCGTGCGTACCTTCAATTTGAGACCTCAACCATGAAAATCGGTCGGGTAGCAGAGCCAAACAAACTCGGAAAAGAAAAACCTAATTTTTTAAATATATAAGATTTAATTAAAAATCAATTCAGGCAAATGGAAATTTGCTGAGTCTGCAGGTTTGCTGCAGCGGGGGTATTTATGTCTTACTGTTCCCGAGATTGAATGATATCATGTCAACCATTAGGTAAAGTTTCTCTAGAGACATCCAGCTCTAGCAAAGAGTTCAGTGGTAGGTGGTAGCTTTGATTACAGCCGAGTGGTCTATCAGTGATATGCTGACTTCGGATTGATCATCACTCCTCTTCCTCTTGTCAATTAATGATATGATATTACAATCGTTTATGACTCTGGCTTGAACATTTGTTATGCTCTTAAACTCAATTAATTATTATTAATATTTTCTCAATCAAGTAAAATTAAAATTTTGCAATTATGGTCTACAACAGTGTTTAGAAAGATTTCATTATATTCTTGGCATGAAAAATATTGTTTAGTTGTTTGTGGTTAAAAGAACCATACAAATAAACTATCCTTTATTTTTTAATAGGATCTAACTACCTTAAATTCTTAAATTGTTAACTGTTCGTATGCAATCAGCAAGGGTATATAACTGCAAGTGAAAGTGGATCTATTTAGTGAGTGTTGCTGTTTGACCAGTTTCAGGCACCAGGACATGATAACCATGCATCATCCCAATCATCTGCATGGACATGGACATACGACTGCACCTTTTTCTCACCCTCACCCCCACTCTCATCAACCCCCTCTACCTGTGCCTCAACAGCCCACTGTGTACAGCAGGCCAGAAGTGGTGGGCCACCCTCACCCGACCATACATCATGTGGTGAGTGCCTCAGCATGTTCTCACAACACCAAAAGACCTAGCCTGCATAGGGTAGTACAAGGGACAAAATGCAAATAAATTGCATTCTGTCAAGAAGTTGAGTTTGTGAAACATGGTTTTCACATGGACAGAAGTGATTTTAGTAAAATGATAATGTAATGGACAAAAGTAGAGAAGAGTCCAAGGGAAAATGGGCTAACCCCGCAAAAGTAAATTTTCCAGAACAGCCAAAAAAGGGTTTTCAAGGAACAAATTGCCAGCCCATTGCTTTTAAAATAGATTTTTATGAAGTATTTTACATTCATTAAATTATATTTATTTCAATAATTTACATTTAAATACAGTAGAACCTTTTTAATCCGAACTAATTGGGACCGGGGGTAGTTCGGACTATTGAATAGTTCGGATTACAGAACATATTGTTGTTTTTACATAACATAAGCTAGGGAAAAGTGTAAAATGCTTTATAAAGTAAAATACAGTGTTTATTTAATACAGTAGTAAACATAGGGAATAAAAAATACTGTACATTACAATTAAAATAATTACGGTGCGTATATCAATGAATACAGTTTACAATAAAGAGCTATTGTACTGTGTATAGAGTACAGCAATGAGGCGTTCGGATTAGTGGACGTTCGGATTACAGGGGTGAGGTGTCGTCACCCTGACGTACCTTCGTTGACACGGTGCTATCCTTATACACTGTAACTAAGTCACTATGTCACCCTGACGTCTTACACTACGGGAATCGGGAAGTTAATAAGCACTACGGTTTAACACTGTAAAACTGCTAACGACCGAACGGGCCGGAGTTACTCAGGATGGAAGCTGGCTATAACTTAGGTGTGGAGGTGTCGGTTAACATGGACTCATGGGTTGGGGAAGTGGCGTGACCCGATCGTCCAATAGCATTCGTTTATTCAAATATTATTAACTGGTAGTGGGAAATACAAACGGTTACAGTTCAACGTATACTTAAAATTCATGATTTAGCCCCTGAACTGTTTATTAGACTAATATGATCAGGTACATACCTTTACGTCAACAGTTCAATTTTGTAGTGGGTAAACTCACAACATGTTTCGCCTATTCAGGCATCGTCAGGTGGTATCCTAGCAAGAATGCTTTGTCTTCATCCATGATGGAGTCGTCAAGAAACATTTAAATAAATACACACACATTACGCACGAAAACATTTAACAAATAGAGTAGGCCTACTATTACCGGTCGCGGTACGGAGGCAGACTGAACTTGCTGGAATTATGTAACACCGACCCCTCCTCCGTTATCAGTAGTTGTACTACAAAGGTCAAACTGTTCTTGTCTATTGTTGAAGGCTATTATGGCATTGAAGATAGAGTGTGATTTGAAATTTAACTGGTCATTTAAAATATGGTTTTTTTTTATTGTGGCTGTCTTGGAAGCTTTTGTAAATTTCAAACTGTTCTAGAGAATCCAATTTATTTCCTTTATTACAAACATGGAGAATTTCCAGGCTATTGTCTATGGTGTGATTTTTATCTAATAAATGCTGGGCGAAAGTGGATTTTTGTTTGTCTGCTCTGGGGTCGGTTGAGTAAACGATCTGCCTGTTTGTCCAATATAAAAATCCGGACAATCCATACAATTCAATTTATAAACTCCAGACTTGTCTAACTTATTTTCAACAACATTTTTTTGTGTTAAAGCTTGTTTTGTTTTTTTGGTAGTTCTAAATGTTAATTTAAGCCCGTGTTTCCTTAAAACTTTGTTGAGTCCGTTTTGAGCTAAGTGGCTGTATTCTATGCAGATGTATTTCATCTCAGGTTCATTTAGCCCTGGTACAGGAGCTTTTGGTTTGGTTTTCAATTTTGTTACCAGTTTATCTATTATGCTCTGTTTGTAACCATTGGAAATAGCTATGTGTTTAATTATATTTAATTCTTTCTGATAGTCTTTGGCTGAGAGCGGGAATTGAAGTAACCTGTATACTAGGCTGTTGTAAGCGGCGAGTTTATGTGATATAGGATGGTATGATGTGGCGTGTATTGTTTGGCTTGACGTTGTAGGTTTTCTGTAAATACTGAAGCTAAGTTTACTATCTCTCTTCTCAATGGTCATTCATGTCAAGAAAATTTATTTTATTGTTGGTTTCAGTTTCTATTGTGAATTGTAATTTGGGTGCAATGTTGTTTAAATAGTTTAGTAACAGGTTCAGTTGTCAATTGTGTAACGGGTATTCCAAGTTAGACTAAATTAAAATGGGCCTATTGTGGAAAAATTACATATTGAATAACTTGAATATCTAAAAAACTACTTGTCCTATCGAGCTCAAAGTGTTACCAAATAAAATCATATGAAATTCCCTAACTTGTGTAAAAAAATCAAACTGATCGGACAAATTTGAGAAATTAATTAAAAAATGTAAATATAAAATATTAATTTACAAGGTCCGAGAAAACCCGCCATGACGTTGCGCGGATCAAAAGTGACCAAGAAAATAGCCCGAGACAAAAATGCAATAATCTCTTAAATTACAAGTCTAATCAAAAAACTAAAACCAGATAAAAGTGATTAAATATGTTTCTGAAGACGATTGTATGGATTTCATAAAGAATAAATAAAAAACTATAAAAAAGTGTAGGAATGGTTTTTAATTTGGCGGTTATGGCGCGAAAAAGATGGAAGAAGTGGGAAATAGTTAAAGTTATTAAAGTAAATATCTCGAAAATTACAGGTCCGATAAAAGCCAAATTAAAATAGAATGACTTTTAGATTTTTCTCTAGCTATGTTGCAAAATTTGTAACAACAACTTAAAGAATTAAATTTTGGATGGCGAGTAGTGAATTGTAACCGTAAACTCGGTCATTGCTGAAGAAACCGTTCGAGAGTAAAGACTGTTGTTGGTCTCTAAAGTGAAGCTAGCATTGTGCTAACCTAGATAGCCTAGGTTAGGAGTTGAAGAAAATCAAAAAACTAAAATTAATGAGTATTAGTTAGCTCAAATGTAGTGAAAGTAAATTAAATCTTATACTATCAGTGATAAAGTTGCCTATTAGGGTGAATTTGTATCTTAGACTGATGCCACGAATACGCCGTAGATCTTCAATAGCCTACAAAAAAGTGGATAAGTACCCAACTTAGTGATCCTCAATATAAAAAAAACTTAGTCTCATCATATAATAAACATTTCCTATTATTAAATACTTTTTAATTTCAAAGGGCTCAATTCAGTTATGGATAGGTACTGCTAATCAATATTTTAAGAAAACAGTAAATTACTAGCCTAGGCCAAGGACGAATTGCTATCTTGGTGTTGCTAGGGTGTGGGCATAACGGTAGTTTTTAGTAGAGAGTATTTTTTATGTATGTATATAAGTAGTATAAATAATGAAATAAAATAATTCGTGTAATCAGGAGTTTTTAATTTTATTGACTTTGCCTATCTCACTGGCTTCACGAAGAACCCATAAATCTACCACATCTTTGATGTTAAAGATGGGATTTCCCTGATTGTAAGAAAACTCATGTAACTACACTAGCTCTTTTAAAAGGATAAAAATTAAAAAAAAAGTATAATATAAAATTTAAAATAGGCATAAGTAAAGAAGGCTTAACCTTACAAAAATCGAGATAAAGGTTACAATTGTTGCAATTAAATAACATAATGGTGTCGTCAACATAACGATTGTAAAGATTGATCCTATTTCTGTATTTATTGGAATCGGAGAAGATGAAATTGTTTTCTATGTGGTTCAGATAAATATCAGAAAGTATTCCAGATAACGGAGATCCCATAGCGAGCCCATCCGGCTGAGAGTAGAACTCGCCATTAAAAGTAAAATAGTTTTGTTTTAAAACCTCAGTTAACAGCGCCATAATTTCGTCAGCAGATTCTGATAACACTGTTTGACTATTGGTTAGGTGTTGTTGAAATTAAGTTGTTTAACTCCAGTTGTTTAACAACACCTAACCAATAGTCAAACAGTGTTATCAGAATCTGCTGACGAAATTATGGCGCTGTTAACTGAGGTTTTAAAACAAAACTATTTTACTTTTAATGGCGAGTTCTACTCTCAGCCGGATGGGCTCGCTATGGGATCTCCGTTATCTGGAATACTTTCTGATATTTATCTGAACCACATAGAAATCAATTTCATCTTCTCCGATTCCAATAAATACAGAAATAGGATCAATCTTTACAATCGTTATGTTGACGACACCATTATGTTATTTAATGGCAACAATCGACAACTGAACCTGTTACTAAACTATTTAAACAACATTGCACCCAAATTACAATTCACAATAGAAACTGAAACCAACAATAAAAAAAATTTTCTAGACATGAATGACCATTGAGAAGAGAGATAGTAAACTTAGCTTCAGAATTTACTGAAAACCTACAACGTCAAGCCAAACAATACACGCCACGTCATACCATCCTATATCACATAAACTCGCCGCTTACAACAGCCTAGTATACAGGTTACTTCAATTCCCGCTCTCAGCCAAAGACTATCAGAAAGAATTAAATATAATTAAACACATAGCTATTTCCAATGGTTACAAACAGAGCATAATAGATAAACTGGTAACAAAATTGAAAACCAAACCAAAAGCTCCTGTACCAGGGCTAAATGAACCTGAGATGAAATACATCTGCATAGAATATAGCCACTTAGCTCAAAACGGACTCAACAAAGTTTTAAGGAAACACGGGCTTAAATTAACATTTAGAACTACCAATAAAACCAAACAAGCTTTAACACAAAAAAATGTTGTTGAAAATAAGTTAGACAAGTCTGGAGTTTATAAATTGAATTGTATGGATTGTCCGGATTTTTATATTGGACAAACAGGCAGATCGTTTACTCAACCGACCCCAGAGCAGACAAACAAAAATCCACTTTCGCCCAGCATTTATTAGATAAAAATCACACCATAGACAATAGCCTGGAAATTCTCCATGTTTGTAATAAAGGAAATAAATTGGATTCTCTAGAACAGTTTGAAA